TTTAGCTACAATCTGTCAAAAAAAAAAAAAAAAAAGTAATCCAAGAGAATTTTCTCTATGCACAAAAATCATTTTTACTAGAATCTAGTTTTCATTAAGATGGTTTCAGGCATTCAGGAATTTAAGCATCCTATTTCACATTAATGAGGTAAGTAATATCCTAATGATATTTCTATTTTAAGGCTGAAGCCACAACCCAGAAACCTATCTATTAGTCTTATATAATATTTATGTATTTATATTACTACAAAAGCCTCAACATTTTTCTAAGTAGGCACTTTATAATCATCAGAATTAAGATCTTCGAGCACACAAACAGGCTAAATTTCCCTATCTACTTAAGAGTATCATTACTGAGGTTCTTTAGTATAAAGTTTATTACGTAAAGAGCCTAAAAAGTTTCTCTTCTGCAATGCCACCAAGAGTTAAATATAGTTCTAGTCACACAGTGTCCTGAACAGTGCCAGACTGGCTCTGGAGGCACACTAAAAAAATTACTGTACACACTGCTGTTGCAGAAATGAATCATAGAAACAGTTTCTCTATATACATAAATCAAATTTGCAGTTAGCTTCAAAAACTGGACTGCTACTTTAAGAGCTAGTCCTCTCAGAAGATGTGCCTTACTATTTTATGTAAACAATTTTTTTCTGCACAGAAATTAACCTCGAAGGACAGGACATCCATACCCATATTTTTGTAGTTCTTCCCCATTTGGCATTAGGATGGATCTTATTTTTACCACTACCTCAAAATAGGGCTTTTATCAGTACTACTTTGGTCTCAATTTCAGCTGACTCAAGTTTTTAAGCAATCTGATTTAGAACAGGAATTTAATTTTTTTAAAAAAGATTTTGTTTATTTGACAGAGCGAGACAGAGAGAGAAGGAACACAAGCAGGGGGAGTGGGAGAGGGAGAAGCAGGCTTCCCGCTGAGCAGGGAGCCTGACTCGGGGCTCGATCCCAGGACCTTGGGATCATGACCTGAGCTGAAGGCAGACGCTTAACGACTGAGCCACCCAGGCGCCCCGAAAAGGAATTTAATTTTGAGGGGAAAAATCACCACCATATAATGCAACTTCCTATAGAGTAATATTTTCAATAGACTCCACAAAATTCATGTTATTTAAAAAAAAACAAAAACCAATCCGGTCACAAAGAATTAAACAAAAAGAGGATTTGTGTTATCTAGGTTTAACATTTTATTTTTCTTTAAGCCTGCCATTCTTGACCTGGAAAGGTAGAGGAAGCATTAAGGAGAGAAGGCAAGGAGTTTAAAGTTACTTCACAAAATTGCTACTAGTCCTAGTACTTTGTGCTTCATATAACAGGGACCACATGAATACTGCAACTGTATTTTTCAGGTTTCTACAACCACTATATATAAAACCCCTTTTGAAGTACATTCTCCCTAGAGAAGTCATGTCAACACATCTATTTATTTTGCATCTTTTCCCAGAAGAAAATGAGATGACCGATTTAAAACAAGATAAAACAGCTATCTTTATGTGGCTTTTCCTAAAATAGCTTATTGCTTAATGGTACTTTACACAGATAGTATTTTAATATTCACAAGCATCCTAGGAGATAGGCAAATAATATTACACTTGTCTTACAAAAAAGGCATCAGAGGGGCGCCTGGGTGGCTCAGTTGGTTAAGCGACTGCCTTCGGCTCAGGTCATGATCCTAGAGTCCCGGGATCGAGTCCCGCATCGGGCTCC